GGCTCCAAGTATGCAGATAGTACCTACTTCGGGGTCTAAAGTCTATAAATGGTACCTACTTTGATCCTTAACCCTAAACCCTAAGGTCTATAAATGGTACCTACTTTGGGCTTTTGGGAGCCTCAGGGCTAAATCTTAAACCGCAAACCCTGAACCCGAAATCTTGAGCTCGAAACCGACAAAAGAAGAGACGCGGCTGCAGAAGCAGGGATTCGAGATCTCGGGATAATTAGATTTGAGGCTTGCACTCATGTTTCAATACTGCGTCATATACCTATGCGCATATGTGCTTGTTTTCAGATGTCTATACTATGTGTGTACATACGTGCATACCTTTTTACGTCGTGTGCGTCTACAGTGTCCCGAAACTCTGAGCCCTAAACCCCAATTTCTACAGTAGACCTCAAGCAGCATAAGCCCTAGATGCCTTCAGGTGGCAAGGTTGTGGAGAACATCACGCACTTTGTGAGAGATCACTCCGTGTCCACGGTTCCGAGGTGACGGTCCAAGGTTTGATCGAACCTTGATTAGGATGTATGGCTTGGGGTTGTTAGTTTAGGGCTTTGAGTGTTATAGGTTTTGTGATGTGGTGCGTGTTCTTTCGTGGTTTCGGGTTTTGGCGCTGAGGGGATAGAACAGCAATGCGAAATCTCATCCGTCCAGGGCTTCCATACAGGAGCCCGCACGAGTCATGAAACTCTACCTAAAACTGGCCCACAACTCCTGTACCTTCGTAGTATGACCAACGCCTAGTACTTCATCTTCTGGAATAAAAGGGGGCCTTACATTTTTTGGGCAGTTGTCTAATGTAGGGTCCCCTGAAGGGTCCTTTTTTTGTGCAACGGTACCGTACTGTGTTGGGGCGCAACAGGGACCCTAGTTTAGAGAACTACCAATATGAATTACAGCCTGCATGATACCCGATGTGCTGCAGGTTCTCGTCCACCAATCGTATTAAGGAGCAGCAAGCAAGGACGTCACATAGGGCTAATGATAATTTGGGGCTTGACCCTGTATTCATCAGACGTGATTATCATAAGGATCTTATGTCGTTTTGGGATAGTGTTGACTGCGGTGGTGGTCGTGGATGCCAGAGCTAGGCTTGTGCTGGTGTTGTTCTCGCAGCTAAGCCCCAAAAGCCTAAACCCTGAAACACTAAAGTCTTTAAAACGCCAAACGCTATAACCCCTCGCAAACCCTAAAGCCACAAAGCCCGAATCCCCAAAAACAGCTCTAAACACAAAGCGCGAAATCCCCTATGTCGTAGGCCCTATTGACCCCAAACCCAAACCCTAAACCCTGAGCCCCACGTGTCGGATCTAGGGTTTAGCAGGGACTGTCCAAACTGGCACTTAAGTCAGACTGGATCCATTTCGGTTCTGCCGGTTCCGGTTTTAAGTTAGACTGGAGAGAGGAATCCAAGCGCTACTCGAAAACGCCACTCCCGCTTAAACACCCGACCAGATCCCTACGGGTCCAAAGGATCCAATAATTCGGTATTTGGTTTTGGCATAGTAGTTTTGTACAGGTGTATATTGGGAGAGTATATGGTTAACCCTACATGGAAGCCTAAATCCTTCAACTCTAAACTCTAAACCCTAAACCCTATCAACCCTAAACCCTAAAACCTCCTTCGGAGGCTGTCCGAGCCATCGAGACCGCCACCAAGGAGTAAGCCTCAGACCCTCATGAAGGCCCAGGGCGTGGGAGTCTTAGGGTTCAGGGAGTCTTAGGGTTCAGGGAGTCTTAGGGGTCTGGGAGTCTTAGGGTTCAGGGAGTCTTAGGGTTTGGTTTAGGGTTTTATTGTTTTAGGGTTTAGGCTGTATAGACTGTTTAGGAGTCTCAATGTTGAGGGTTTGGGGTTCAGGACATTGGGTTTAACTGGGGTTCAGGGTTTAGGGTTTAGACAGCTTAGGAGTCTCAATGTTGAGTGCTTAGGCTTAGGGTTTAGGAGTCTTAGAGCCGAGCCTTTGATTTGAGTTGAAAGTTCAGGACGCTATGGTGTACGGTTGATGATACAAACCCTGCATTACCCAGAATAAGGAACATACCATAATTCCCCATAGTTTGGGGTCCTTAAGGTAATGCAGGGTTTATAT